CCCCAAAACCCCAAAACCCCAAAACCCCGATTAATAGAATTTAGCTAATTTAGGGAGAATGGTAGTATAGATTTAATAATTAGAAATAGAAATAAAATAGTAGAATATTGAAATGAGAGAACTTTCTAGAAACGTCATCGTACTTAAGTAGATGTATCATTTTCAAAATGTAATTATTCTATGCTTTATTATAATTCATCATAGATGGCTTCATCATTCAACTCCACTTATGCTTTGGATTCTGAACTTAAGAAGCGACTCAGAGATCCTTATGATGAAGGTCTTGAGAGCTTTGTGAACGAGAGCTACGACTTGAGAAATATACTACGCATCGAGTCATTGAATAATAAATAACCACTATTAGTATAAACTAATGTGGTAGCATAAAATTCAGACATTTATACTGAATCTAGCAATCTAATTTAGGAGGTGAAAACCACATTTTCATCGTTTTAGTTGTAGAAGAGAAGAGTGGTGGATGCATTCTCCTAGATGAATTTGAATAGCAACTTTGGCAGTTAAAATACTTAATCAAAAATCTAAGATAACATTGAGAATTCAAATCTATCATCAACATAGTATTAATGTCCAGATAGTATACTCTCTAAATCTAAAAATCTAGACTAATCTTCTTAGAATGAGATTCTTCTAGAAAATGATGAAACTATGGTTTGTGACGAACTGCTGGAGGAAAGCAAAGATCAATTAAAGCAAGGAGGGAGATGGGTTCTCGATAAATCACTAGCAGGCAGGGATCTATTGATGTCAGAACTAAATAAAAAAAGGACTCTTGACTATTTATTTGAAAAAAATAATAATCAAATGGCGGAAAATCTCACCTTACAGGCATAATGCTAGTCATTTGATAACGATTTTCAATCTTAGATTATTCAGGTACATTCTGGAATAAACAAAAAAGAAATGTTAAAGTCGTTTTTCCAATTTTATCTCTCGAATGTTCTTTAGAACAATACCGCTCTTCTCAATAGCTACCTCAGAAAGTTAAAGAACAAGTATTCTGAGCTATAGCCTAAGGAAAGAATAAGCTTCCATGAGCTGCAGGAATCCATATAGGAAATGGAACTAGATCAAGATCAAAGGCAAATGGTCTATCAACTGCTGAGTCGAGAGACGAACATTTAGGAATTGATGGAAATAATTTGAAGAAATCGAGTAAGATAAGCCAAGAGAGTAATAAATCGGCAAAAATTAGAATTTTGCATTGTATCACTATCTAATTAAATTTTGCAATAAATATTCAATTTTAGTTAATTTTATCAGTGGGGTTTTGGGGTTTTGGGG